AAATTAATATTTCAAATTAAACCCAATACACATTGTTTTGAACAAAAAAAAAAAAAAGAATCAGGTAACCGGTTACCAAAAAAAGCGTTAGAAAACCCTCGACTTAAATAATCCAAACGCTCCATGATTCAAGCTCATTTCTCTCTTGTTATCGGCAGATCATGCATTTTTTTTGTGTAAAAAATATCCAAGATCTCATTTTTCAAAATTATTGGAGGAAAATAAAAATAAAAAAAAAAAGTATAGATATAAATGCACGATTTTAGCTAGAACATTCATATAATTAATAGACTGATTAGGTGATGTAAGAAAATTAGCAAAAAACATATTAATATTATAATATCTCTAACTGTTTTAGGCGGGAACATAAAATAATATAATTAAATGATGAAAATTTAGGCGGGATAATATAATTAAATGCAAGATAATATAATTAATGCTTTGTTCCTCCAAATTATATATACTAGTAATCAACCTGTGCATTTGCACAGAGAAGAATACTTTCAAAAGATAATAATATAAAAAAAATCATAATTTAATTTATGAAAAAAAATATGGATTAAGAAAATAATTCTCAAAAGTTATTTTGATCAAGTAATTGCTATGGAAGAGCCGTTACAACCATTTTCTTTATACTAATACACCCGGCTATTTTCATGAGTGGGTGACTTAAAATTTGAGTACAATTTTGTAACTCCTTGATTAGTTTATGCTCATAATTTATGGCATTCAAGCAAGTTATTTTGTAATCTAAAAATGAAATTGAATGTTGAAAATTTAGAGGGAGAATAAAATTTAATGCATGATAATAAAATTAAATGCTTTGTTGCTCCTCTTTATATATATAGATTAAAAGACCGAAAGAGTAAATCATTATAAATATTTCGAAAATTTATTTAGAAATATAAAATATAATGATTATTAGTACGTTTTCCATTAAATAAATAATATTATTAATTTAATTAAAATATCATATGAAATAAGTTTTAATTATTAATATATTGTAAATATTTTTAGCATATCTACATATTTTAAAGAATTATATATACATATATATAAAATGATATTGTTACTCGTTGGCATACACATTGTTATTATTGTATTCATTCGTATATTTACGTTCTTACGTCATGGCTTACCTAATTGCCCACATTGGTGCATCATGTGTTAAACTTTCTGATCTTTGAACGCAGTTTACTTTGTATGATATCCTGATTTACTACCACATAGGGGAGATTAATGCAATTCCAATTATATATTCTATATACCAACATTTTTGTTTTGGACTAACAATAGTAATTATTACTAATTGTTTTTCACAAACAACTGAACAAATGAACAACACTGGTACAAGAGTATATTTGTAGCAAAAACTTGCAAAGAAGCCACACTTT